TAGACCCTAGTCATTCCTTTCCAAAGGGCCTCGATTAGATGATATTTCTCTAGCAGCCTTAATTATAATGCTTTTCATTATTTTTCTCATTTAAATAAAAGCACAATTACCTTACTCTGGGGATATCTCTGACTTGAGTCAACAAGTGTGGATCCTTCAAGGTGACGTTCTTGTGGCAGTTCCTCGGAGAGCGGACATGACTCCAGGTGAGGCTTCCCTCGAGTTAGTGGCTGGGTTACCTTTTTACAGTTGGCTTCCAGGAGGGAGGAGAGTTTCATGGGATAACGTAGAGAAGTTTTCTGGGAGCAGGGTAAAAAAGCCGAATTGGAACTGCATCATGGGAACAGGAGCAACGCTCTCCTGGCCTGGGATCCTTGTGGAAGAGCAGTAGCTCATTCTGCCCCCTGCTGCCCTCCAAAGACTAAATGGGCTGATACCCCAGGGAGGCAGCTTTCGTCATCAGATCAAGCAAAATTTCCTAAGTCACTGACCTCTTCAAGGGTCGAAGCTCTGCTTGGCTAGGGCTTCCCTTCTGTTGGTGTTTAAGCAGAGGTGTAAAGATCAAGACCAGAATGGGCTGTTTAACGTTTTGGGTTTGTTCCATATTCTGAGGCAGTGATTACACATGGTGGCAGTGAGTGAATGAATGAATGGATGAATGAATAAGTGAGTGAATGAATGAAGCATATGGCCATTTGGTGGATGTGGGGTAACCCGACTTGGAAGACAGTCGTCTTTTCCTGACGGCAAAGAGAAGCTTACACCGCCTCCCCTCTTGTTTCCAAGTTACCATCACTTTCCTCCCATGCAAGTATCCCGAGTCTCTTGAACAAGACAAAGGGACTCCCATTTACATGGGAATAAAGGAACCAGAAAAGTGTTTGTCTTGTGAGGACATGGAGGGTCAGCCCACCCTAAAACTGAAGGTGAGTACTAAGAATGTGACCATGCAAACACTGTGAAAAAGTTAATGTTTTTAAAAGGCCTTATCTTGTAGAGGTTTACTTGGTAGCAGATCTGATCTTAGAGCTAAATTCTTAGCATCTGCATTCCTAGTTGCTCTTGAGTTAAACGCTAGAAACTCACATTTCTTTGAGTTATCCTTTCCCTCTTAACCTCTTTGGTGGTGTTTTTTTCAAATAGATTTGCTTCTGTTTCATCTTTTGTTTGCCACTCTTCATCATTGGACATTGGACCTTCTAGAGCTTCTCTGATGTCTAATTGTCCACACTTGCTCTCCATTCCTTACTTTTTTTCTCTTCATGTTGGGTCCTGAGAGCATTTCCTGGTTCATTATCTTAGATTATGCTTTCATTTTAAACATCCTGTCTGTTCAACATACTTTCCTGTGTTTTCTGAAATGCCATCTTTACTATATTAATTCTCAAGAATTCTAGGTGGCTCTTACTTTCTCTTTATGACTCAGTTATCCCAAAGGAACTTATTTCTTAAACTTTGGTTCTAAAAACCTTTGTTGGACTCAATTCATTGTGATTCTACCCAAGGCCATTCCCCAGAAATGTGTGCCTCCGGCACTGCTGTGGGCATTTGGGGAGCAGCAGGGAGCAGAGGGCAAAGGCCTTGCCCTCAGGGCACTTGGAGACAAGTGGACAGTGTCCGGGCACCCGCAGCCTCGCTAGGGATGACCTTGCTCCCTGCTGCAAACTGGCATCTCCTTCTGTGGTAGAGGATCCCTCAGCCTCTCTGGTGAGGAAGTCCCAATCTTTTGACTTGTTCAATGCCCGGCCCTGGTGTTGTTCCAGCCCATGTCTGGATTTAAGGCCTGTCACTGGGCAGGAGATTCGTCTCTGCCTCTCCTTTCAAATGTGTTTATGTAGAGCAGCTATCACAGGTAGACAAAACCTTTTTGAAATTTGGGGCACTTCTTTGTGTACAAGTCACCTTGAACTACTCAAACAGCCTTTGCGCCTCCATGAGCCTTGTCCTTCCTTTGCAGGAAGAGAAGATTGTAGATCTGTACAATCAAGAGGGGCCCGTGAAACCCTTCCTCTTCTACCACAGTAAGATCGGCAGGACCTCCACCTTCGAATCTGTGGCTTTCCCTGGCTGGTTCATTGCTTCTTCCTCGGATCAAAGCCAGCCCATCTTTCTCACCTCAGAGCAGGGGAAGACACACAATACTGCTTTTGATTTATCGCTCCAGTCTTGAACTCAGCCTGAAGGTGGCAGCTGGTTCAGCCATCTCTGTGTTCAGTGTTCTCATTCCCAGTGTGTTTCCTCATGTTGTCTCAATGCCATTCACTTGTCTTCAGTGCTAAGATGTGAGCAGGGCCCCTGTTATGTTATTTTGTGAATAAAGAAGCAATGATGTCATAGTAACTGAGGAGCAGAGTATGGACTCAGAAACAGAAGCGGTGACATGGCATCAGCTCTGCTCTCCAGATGATGTTAGCCCCCCCTGGACTCTCTAAGGAGACTTAGACACCTAAAGTCAGCAGCTTCTCTGGGAGAAGATATGAAGATACCTCAGAACTCATAGTCTTACCAAAGATTGTATTATGTGATGGTGTGGAACTCATCTCTGTCTTGTGTCCTTTCCTATCGGACTACATTTCCATATCCCCTCTGTGCACAACATCCTTTAAAAAGTGAGGACTTGTTTTCTTAAACTTTTAAATTTTCTTACATTTTGTTTAATATTTGATTAATCCGGTTATTTGTGGTGCCCATAAATTTCCTATTACCTCATCACCTGTGAAGGACTGCCATAGTCCCTTGTGCTCTACCTTCCCCTATTTTTTTTTTTTAAGATTTATTTATGCTTACAGAACTGGGGTACAGGCCAGAGGTGCAGCGGTGGTGGGAGGATTCACTAGAGACAGAGTGGGGAGCAGAACAGGCAGATCAACGAGATACACTGCTGAAGGTAGCAGTGGGCGGGTCAGGAGAGGTCTGCCGCGCCATGTGGTCACCTCCTGGGGCCAGGGATTGAACTTGCAATGAAACAGCTGTGGCTCGCCTGCAGAACTGCATCCTAACCTGTTGCGCCACCAGGGAGGGCCTGTACCTTCCCCTATTTTGATCCATCATCTTTCTCCTTCTCTTCTGTATGCCTCAGATTTATGAGTTTACTTTAAAATTTTGTCTTTCTTTTTTCTTACCCTTTGTTTGGTTTCCTTATACTCCTTCTATAAGTGATACCATTGGCATTTTTTCTTTTTCCTTCTCACTTATTTCACTAAGCATAATCCCTTCTAGTTCTGTTTATGTTGCTATGAATGGCATGAATTTACCTTTTTGACTGCTGAATAGTATTCCATGCTGTATATAGACCACATCTTCTTGATCCATTTTTTTGGGCATTTAGGTTGTTCTCATGTCTTAGCTACTATATATAGTGCTGCAATAAACATACACATAAAAGCTTTTTTTTTGAATTAATGTTTGTGTGTCCTTTGAGTAGACCCTAGGAGTGGAATTTCTGGGTCATATGGTACCTCCATTTTTCATAACTCTGCAATTTTCCATAGTAGTTGGACTGGTTTGCATTTCCACCAGCAGTGTAAGAGGGTTCCTAAAAGATAAGTGCCTTTGAAAGTTAAATAATTGTTGATAATAATTAAGTTATATTGGTCCTATGGCAAATATAAATTCTATGTGTTTTTTAATAATAAAGCTAAAAGAGGTATACAGTAAAATAGGAAGCTCAGAGTAAGCTGAAAAATTGGCAAGAGAAATTGCATGAGGCCATAGCATTGGGTGAGTCTGAATGTGGCATAGCTGTGGGGAGAGGGACCCTATCCGTGCAGAGGGAGTAGACTGGGTGTGGGCTCTACTATTTCACTACTTGCTTTGCAGCCTCACAGCCTTGCTTCCTCTAGTCTTCTCCTTTTAGGTAGATGCCACCCAGATAATGCCTTTAAAAACTGAGCAAAAGTGCCATTTGGAGGGAACAGAGAGTCTCCCTTTGTCTGCACTTGTGTATTCAGCCGAAATTTATTAACCAACTGTGGGTATAATTGTAGAAACATGTAGTTCAACTATGGTGTAGACTTCTTATTTTAACCCTAAAACTGGAAATGCAGAAAATTCTGTTTGCTTAAGTACAGTTTCCAAAACAGACAGTAACTTACTTTTTTTTTTTTCTATTGGATCAACAGACCACGTGCTCTGCTGGACCACCAGCAAGCAGTCAGTGAGCACTCATTTACTGCCTCCTGATTCTTCTTCAATTGAATTAATTTTAGTGTTGCATTTTTATGAAAATCAACATAAAAATGGGCACAAAACTAATTAGTTCCTGAATTTCAAATAGAAGAATTGGTCATTAGATAATCACTACTAAAATCCCCTACTTTTAAAGAGTTGTAATATCTGTAGCTTCCATTTTTAGACTATACTGTCAACTGTTTTATCTGGAAAATAGGGTTTGATGATCAGTTTGCTTGTGATGGAGCTCAACAGCTCCATCCTGCCACAACCTGTGTGGTGATTTCTGCCTCTATTCTCTACTGAGAAAGAAGGCTCTAGTTTCCCTGGGATAGCTACAGATGTGAACTCAAACAAAAGCTCAAATATGAATTTGGTCACCTGTGGTTCAGGTCCACGGGACAGAGGGTCATCCTTATGCTTCAGAGGAGGCTCTGATGATGTATTTGGAGTGTAATCAAAATGGAATCTCCAAGGTACAATCATCTCAATTGCTTGTGGGACCCAGAGAACAGACTTCCCAGACATCTAGCTTATGCCTCCCACTTGAGAAACACCACCACCTACCACAGAGTGTGAAACCATGGACGGTTCCTGTCAGTAGCCACGTCTGCTCTGTCAGCTAATTGTCTAGCACACACTCAATTTACACACATTCACCAGAGCAAATGTGCTTGCTTTTGTGTGCCCTGAGCTCCAGGCCAGAGGATTTGGTGGCTTTGGATCTTTAACAACTGGGCACCATAAAGGGCTTAGTGAACAGGGAGTGGTCCATTAGGATTTGGGAGGGGGAAGATTAAGAATACTGCCCCCAAATTCTGCCCCCAAAACCTGCACATTGTTAGTGGGCTGTTCATCCAGCTGCTTTGGGACTGGCTTCTTCTGTCCCCAGGATTGCTAAAGGATGATTCCTGAAGCTGGGCTTGAAGCCACTTTCCTGTAATTCTCTAACAGCTTAACTTGGGGACTGGACATCATTCGCCTGAGGCCCAGAGAATGATGGCTGTAGAGAATAAATCTTCATGTCAATAAAGAATTAATTTTTTTGTTCACACTTCAGAAAGTTATTTAAGAGACAGTCTTACTATTATAATACAGGTCAATGGTTAAAAACAATATTCTTCTACTCAAGTCTTATTTTCATCAGGCCAATTGTTCTTTTTTTTTACCTGTGGCATGACATTGGGGACACATGCAAATCTCTTGGTCTTCTTTCAGAATCTGGATCCTTTCCCATAATGTCGTCATCTCCTTCAGCCTTTTCATTTTGGGGGTGAGGACAGGGACGCCCATGGAGGACTTGTGACTTGACTAGGGTGGTATGAATATTTAGTAGTAGAACTGGAAATAATGACACTCTTGGTTTTGAGGGTTTCAATTTCTGACTTCTGAGGCGGGAAGTTATGAAACAGTGGATGAGAAATCAGCAACAATTACCTGGCAAGACAGCAGAGCAAAGTAGGAGCTACCTCACTCCCATCATGAGGCTGCCCTTATCCGGTAGCATGTCAGATGGTGACCCACCAAGGGTGAGGTCCTGCTGGCCACCTACACATTTTATGTACTAACATTAATGCTGAAATACACTGTGCACCTGTATTTCTCAAACTTGAAGCAGCATCAGAATCACCAAGGGCATGAACCCCAGTGCCTAGGCACTCTAGACTTAAATGAAATCTCATTCCACCTTACTAAGTATAGAGCAGAAACAAATATCAGTGTCTTTTTTTTTTAAGATTTATTTATTTATGCAAGCCAGAGGCACAAGGGTGGTGAGAGTATCTAATGCATGTCTGCTAACTTGGGATGCTAGAGCACCTGGGAGCCTGGCCCCCTCCCCCACTAATCCGGGGTAGTGATCTCAAGTCCGCAAACAGCAGGGTGTCTAGTGTCTGCTCTTGCTCAGGGCAAGCTCCTTCCAGCGGAGAAGCAGCCTGCATCCAGGCTCTGGGAAGCTAGAGGAACATACTCTGGGTAGTCTTCCCTGGTGTGAGACAGGTGGAGCGTATGTTGAGTTTAGACCTGGAGCTGTTAGAAGCTACACAGGTCTTGGCAGGAAGGAGGGATCCTACTCTTGGTTTTTCTTGTGCTACTAGAGCTTTCCACGCTTGGAATATTGTTTCCATGTGTCATTCTGTGGCATCATAATCCAGTCATCAGCCATGGGGAAGTCCTAAGATATTTCTTTCCTTAAACTCAGTGTTGATGACTCTACTTCTTGTAACTATTATTAAAATTTTAACATGTCCTCCCTTTTCTGGGAGCATGGGCAAGTCACACCTTCTCTACACTTGACATTTCATTATAAGCTTTACTGAATCATCTGGCCCCAGGAACTAGTGAATATCCATGGTGTTGGGCAGCCCTAGCTTCAGAGAGGCAGAACCTTCTTCCCAGTTCACATGGATCAAAGGCTAGGCCCTAGTAGAGTGAGACAGACAACTGAGGCTTGAGCAAGCTTTAGGCCATAGGATACGGGGTCCTCTGTCAATGGTGAAGGTGCAGCCCAGAGCTGGGTTCTGCAGACTTTGACTTTCTCTGTCCTTTGGGCCACTGGTCTTGGAACTCCTGGATTAAAGCTCTGCATCTAGGCCTGAAAGAGAGTCATAGGTACAAGTGTTTCTGCTAGAAGGTAGTTGGTGTCCAAGAAGGAGCATGAGTGGGTTGAGTTCTGGAAGTGTAAGTTCTGACTAGGGTCCCTGCGGGACTGGTCCCCAGAGTCAAATGGTGGCTTGGGCCTGACAAGGGTCAGTAGGGTCTTGTAGGCTTAGTGTGCACATAAATAATTTCATGAGGCATGATTTTTGTAAGGGTTCTCAAAGCACTATGCCTTTACCATGCATTTTTACTTTGTCTACAGTGTTATCCAGGGTTGAACCTACTTGGGTGAATATTCAGGATACCAATCATCAGGTGTGGGTCTTTCAAGGTGTGGGTCCCTCAGAGCACTACCAAGAAAGCACCACGTGGTCCCTGGTGAGCGGCCAAGGCTGTCAGAGGCAGCTCCTTTGACTGGGACTGTGTGTGTTGGTGTCAGCTTCTTCTTTCATAATAAACCTATTAACCCCTTATTTGGGGACCACAGAGGCATCAAGGAACTAGCGGTGAAAACAGAGTTCTTCTGTGACCATGGGACAAGAGGTCAGAGGAGGAGGGAAGATAGAGATTGGCCTGTGGAAAGTGGTGAAGACTTTCTTCCTTGAAACTTCTAAGGGTCTCTAGGACAAATGAGTGGGATTTATGGACA